CTCCTTCCTTCCCTCCCTCCTTCCCCCTTCCCTCCCTCCTTTCTTCACTCCTTCTCTCCTTCCCTCCCTCCTTTCTTCTCTCCTGAATGTAGAAGATCTAAATGGCCAAAAAAAGCACATGAATTTAACCCCGTATTTCTCAGTTTGGGCCTCTTTAAGCTGGGTGGCCTTCAACTCCTGGGAAATTGCTGGCTGGGGGGATTCTGGGAGTTGAAGTCCACTCATGTCAAAGTAGGCTGGCTGGGGGATTCTGGGTGTCTTTTTCAAGAGGCCAAGGTTGAGAAAAACACTTTAGTCTCTCTCGGTCAACAGATTGTGTCTTCGGACCCTCTCCCAGCCCCCTCCTCTCTCCAACAGCTGGGGGGGGGGGGAAGACAGATGGAAATCCATCTCCCCAACTCCAAAAGGGTTCTCGGGCAACAATGCCCATAAGGGGCAACTTCTCATGCCGGACATTAACAAAGCAGGGACTGTGGTGCCCGGCCTCCCTCCCTCCCTCCGCCTTCCCCACTCTCGTGCCCCTGGCTTCCTTGCCGGCTGTGCGGGTGGCGCAGGGCTCACCTGAAGGGTGTGTCATATAAGGGAAGTGGGTGGCGGTCGACACTGGAATGTGCTGCAGTGCGCTCTGGGCGATGGCCTGGGGTCCACCGGGCGGCGGCTGCGTCGTCATGAGCATCACTGGAGCATGGGCAGACGGGTGGGAAGGGGCCATGCCTGACTGCACATGGGCCTGGGAGAAAGGGAGAGGCGGTCAGGAGGCCCCCCCACTTGGGGGCCACGATCTCCCCCTCCCCGTCCACAAGGGCTCCTCTTCTCTTTCCTGGGCGAAAGAGAAATCTCCCCCGTGACCCGCGGTGGGGCTGCTCCCTGCGGTCTGGGCTGTCGGAGGGGCTTAATTCCCTCGGGGGTGGCCCATGGGGCTCCAGGATAACCCCCCACATACACACTCTCCCTCCTTGCCCCATAAGCAGCAGGCATGTAAGGAAGGCCGGAGCGGAGGAAAGAGGTCAGGAAGCAGAATTTCACCCGTTTTGCCCTCCAAACTCCGCTCCAAACCTTAGTGAAACTTAAGTTCAGAGGCTTTCAGGGAACCACAATGGAAAAAACCCCATTGCAAGCAGCCCCCCCCCCCAGGGCGGGAGTGTCTCCTCCGTCTCCCTCTCCTCCTGCCAGGCCCAACTTTGTCCCAAGACCCTCTTGTGCTGGGCAGAGCTTCCCGGGTGGGCCGAGGTTTGGCCAGGGCTGGCTAGCGGCAGGAGAGACGGACGGTGGGTCCGGCCAGAGCCAGGTGGGTCAAAGCAGCCAAGGCGGGGGGGGGGGGGCAAAGGGGCCTGGGAGCAGCTGGGCTACCTGGGGCACGTGGGCCATGTGGGGGGGATTGGTGTAGGCCGGCTGCACGTGGGACGGATGGATGGCGAAGACAGTCTGCTGGGCGGTGGGGAAGCTGCTCTGCGGAGACTGGGCACTGGAGCCGGGCGTCATGGAGGGAGGCGTCGGGGCCAGTCCGGTGTGGTAGAGGGCCGACTGCTGCTGGGCGTTGCTCAGGTGGAGGGCCTGGGCTGCCTGGTGCTGGTGGGCCTGCGGAGGAGAGACGGTTAGCGGGGGGGAGGGGCGTCACGGCCTTCAACGGACTCAGGCGAGGCAGCTAGTCCTTGACTAATGGCCAGAATTAGGAGCAGCGTGGTTGTTAAGTGAGCTGCACCTTATTTTATGACCATTTTGTGTGTGGGGGGGCAAGCAAATCACCGCAGTTATTAAGTGAATCACGTGGTCATTAAACAAATCTGGCCTCCCGCATTTGCTCGTCAGAAGTCTACAAATGGGAATCATGTCAGCCCCCCCCCCCCCCCNGTGTCCCGCTTGTGTCTCCTGCACGGACACAGCCAGCCCTGGCCCACGCTGGCTCCGTATCCTCTCCTTGCAGCTGGTTCAATGCCCCTCGGAGCCAAGAAGAGAGTGCCAGGACTCTCCGCTGGATGCACACAAACACACACACACACACACACACACAGGGGCTGGGCCTTCTGATGGCCTGTCCTGCCCCTCTCCCCCCCCCAGCATTCCCTCAGGACCCCCCCGGTGTCCTTGGCGTTGTCCAACTCGGGGAGTTTGAAGCCCCCAAATCTTGGTGCCTCACTCTCGCTTCTCCTTCGGCAGAGCTCCCGGCCCAAACTGCGATCCGCCTGCGCGGCCATCCGAGAGACCCGCGCCTGCACTCGGCTGGAGATGCCCGACCACCTGCACACCTTTGTGGTCAAGGTGAGACGCTGCCTTCCTCCCGCGGCAGGGAGGCCTCCGGCTCTTCTCCCCCCGCCGGGCGCGCTGGGACCTTCCTAGTTGGGCACGGTTTCTCTCCAGGAAGCAGAGGGGGCTGCTGCAATGCAAGGGGGGGGGCAGCCGGGACCCCCAGAAGTAGCAGATGTCAGGAGGGGGGGCAGAGGGGTGGGGGCTGTCTGCAAACACCCCCCCCCCTCCCCAGAGATGCTTTTCCCAACTTGAGTGATGTTTCACTTAAGAGAGCCGGAATCTGCTTCTGGGATTAGAGGAGACCCTTTCTCTGAGAAGTCACCCCCACCCCCATTTTATCTGGGGTGGGGGGTTGCCTCTGCGGTGGGATTAATGCCTCCCTTCTCCCCCAATCCCCCCCCCCCCTTGCAGGTCAATGCCTCCACCGAAATGATATTCCAGGCTGCAGACGAGCAGCAACTGGTGGCTTGGATAGCGGAGATCCAGCAATGCCTCCCCAGGTGAGTTGTGCATGGCACCTGCGCAAAGGTGTGTTCCTACCAGTTTGGCCGAACCGGCAGCGATCCAGGCCTGCCATGCCCCCAGGCGGGTTCTCCTACGGGTGCTGCCACCTTGATTTTCGGCTCTGCGCCTGGATGACGGTGCTTCCGCCCAGGTGAAATCCAGGCTGCTCAGCTGCTATGAACCCTGGCCCTCCCTCCGCCCGTCCTCCTTGCTCCCAACCTGCCTCGCTCACCCGTCCCCCTCCCTCTTTTTATTTCTCAGATCGGAAGGAGGCAACCTGGAGGGGAGCGCAGACCCTCACTCGGAGGCCGGCACCCCCAGCCCTGCCAACAGCAGCAACGACTCCCTGCACCAAGGTGCCTGGGGGATGGCGGGGGATGGGTGGGTGGGTGGCAGGCACAAGGGGGCAGCACGCAAAGGGCTGGCTGGCCTTGATGACCCCGGGGCGGGGGAGCAGGTTGGGAGGGAGGGGCCCAGGAAAGAGACTCGGATGGATCGGAAGCAGTGGGGGAACTCAATTTCCCCGTAATTTGTAATTTAATAAGCTTATATGCCGCCCAATCCCATAGGACTCCGGGCGGCTAATTTCCTCCCCTACCAATTACATGGGCGTGGCTTGGTGGTGGTGGGTCATGTGACTGAGTGGGTGTACATCACTCATGGCAACCCACCAAGCCACGCCCACCACACCACGCCCCCCAGAACCCACAAGAAAGTTTGGCTGGCCAAGTCTTCTAGCGTTCAACATGGCTGCCTCTCGCTTCTTCCTCCTGCTATTCGTTCTGTGTCTATGAGCCCGAGGAGGAGTAGAGGAGCAGCCATGTTGAATGCTGCGGCCAAACCTTTCTCCCTCCCTGCACCGTTGGCAGTCTGTCCCTTTATGGCTGTTGTCCCCCCCTCCCAGGATCGTAAAGACTGGGATTGGGACGCCGTCCCTCCGGCTCCTGCCGTTCTCCTGGCCGGGTCCGGCCGCGAGTGGCACCAGCAGCCAGTGGGGTGCTTGTGCAGGGCCAACCAGAGGTGGTTTTTACCAGTTCGGCGAACCGATTCAAATCGTCCCTACCGGTTCTCCCAAACCTGTTGAATGACTGAGAATCAAATGGTGAGGATTATGTTTGGGGTGGGGGTGGGGAGATGTCTCGCCCTGGCAGCTGGTGGGATCCTTCTCGATCCCCAGCAAGGCTTTGCCGATCGCCTGAAACACAAAATTTGCAAAAGCGCGTGTTTCTCAACTTTGGGAATGCGAAGTTGTTAGTATCGAGTCAAGTTTTCAATACAAAACCAGTGATTTATTAGACGCGCCGTTAGGCAAGATCTGTCCGCAGCCAAGCCTGTGCTTGGTTTGATTTTCTGCTGAACTTTAGCCCTGTTCCTTCCCTCCCCTCAGTCTGTGTCATAAATCACATTACCCTATGAGATGCATCCCCCCCCCCACAAACCGGCTGCAGTAATCTGAGATCCGACTCCAGCGGAAACTATGCGTGGAATGCCCTCTCCCCCCCTTTCTCTCCTCACGACAATTGTGAGCGTTGACCTTATGTTTGTCTTGGTTTTTTTTTTCTTTTTGGTGTTTTTTTTTCCTTTCTGTTTTTTAAAGGTAAAAAGGTTTAATAAAAACTATTTTAAAAAACTAGATTGAATCCATTCAACCTCGGATGCCCCAACTAAAACCCTCCTCTCCCCCCCCCCCCCNCCCCCCGCCGGAACACGCAGCCGTCCTAGAGACACTTGTTTCCAGTGCCACGTAACACTGAATCGTCACTACACGAATGGACGTTGTAAGTCGGGAACTTCCTTTATCGGATAGACGTTCCTCCCAACGTTTGGCCCTACTGGGAGCCCTTACCCTGCCCGTTCCCCCCCACCCCATCCCATCCCATCCTCCCTGGAAGGCAGCTTGCCTTCCGCCCCACACGCCACCGAGGGAAGTGCTTACCTGCACGGGGCTGGGGGCCGGGTGATTCCCCCCATGCTGCGTCTGTTGCTGCCCTGTGGGGGTGGCCGACTGCTGCGGGTGGGGGCTGTGGGGGTGCAGGGTGGCGCTGGGGTGGGCGTACTGCTGAGCGAGGGAACCGGTGGAAACTGGATGGGGGAGAGAGAGAAAAGAGGGATGAAAAGGCCATGAAAGCAGGAGGGGGGGGGTTCAGGCAGCCACTCCCCCAGTTTTGGGAGTCCGCCTCCTGCTTCATCTAAAACAGGGCTGTCCAAACTTGGGAACTTTAAGACTTGGGAGGATTCTGGGAGTTGAAGTCCACAAATCTTAAAGTTCCAAAGTTTTAAAACATGAGGGGGGGTCTCACCCCTTTGGCTTCACCCTCCCACTTCTTCGTGCATGGAGGAAGACGGGGAAGGGGGGGGGCTTTAAGGCAGATAATGGCTTCACAGACCCACCAACCAAGGGGTGGTGCTGTCAAATGCCCCCCCCCCTCCCCGATTCCTCGTCCTCCAAGCTCACGCTATTCCCTGAAATACCCTCCTGGTTTTCTTGGGCGGGGGTCCTGAACAACTCAGTGTTTCCCACCCGTGTTCAACTTGGGAAGGTGGGTGGGCTTCAACTCCAAGGATACATGGTGGAGAAAGACTGCGCTGGATTGGACCACAACAAGGGGCATCTCCAAATTCCAGTTTATCCCAAAGCCAAGATTCGAGATTTAATAAATTTGTATGCGGCCCAATCCCGAAGGACTCCGGGCGGCTAAAGCCAAACTGCTTCGGACCCCCCCCGCCCCAGGAGAAAAATCTTGGCTCACCCCCACCCACTCCCCCACTTCCTTCCTTCCAGTTAGAGTTTGCAGTCAAATGTGGAGGACCCCCCCCCCCGAAAAAAAAGCGGTGGGGGAGAGGGGCACAGACCTGGCCTTAAGAGACACACACACACCCCCCAGCACCTGCAAATGTTGCTTCTTTGCACGGAGCAGAAATATGACGGGGGCACCTCTCTGCGCCTGCCCCACTCCCCCCACCCCCCAAAAAAATGATGCCTCAAAGGAAGTGGTTAGGAGACTTAATTCTGCAGAAGGAGAAGTGAAAAAAACAAAGGTCAGCAAAAAATGGGAGACAAGAAGGAAGGAAAAGAGAAAGTCGGAAAAGCTGCCTGCAAAAGCTCTGAGTAGCTACTCCGAGGTTGGGGGGAGGGGGCGGTGGAGACGGAGAAAGGCTAATTGTGCAACGGAGGCCGGGGTTCCACTCCAACCGGAATCCTGGAGGCCGGACGTTGCCAAAAAATGTGCTCGGAGGAAACCGCTGACCACGACTCAGGCCGGAGACGGCCAAAGTTGGTTAGATGGTGGTCAAGAGCTTTGCCCGAAGGGTTAGGAAGCCTGGCCCTCTTTCCCAGCATCAATGGTCCGACCCAGGGGTGGACAACGGCGGCCCCTTTATGGCCTGGGGACTTCAACTCCCACAATTCCTGAGCCAGCACGGGATTCTGGGAGTTGAAGTCCCCAGGTCATAAAAGGGCCATTTCACCTGGTCCCAAGGACGGAGTGTGTGTGTGTGGGGGTCTGTTCCATCCTCAACAGTGGGAAGGGGCTCAGGACCCCCAGGGGCATGCTAGGGTTGCCCAAGGGAATAGAAGGGGGGAGTAGATGCTGGGGAGGGGGGTGTCAGCTCCTCCGGGGGGGGGGGCGTACCCCCATTCATCCTGCTGCATAGACCCTCCGATTGACCGTCCTGGGGGAGTTGGAGCCGGCCTCTTGGGGCAGTTGGGAGACCCCCAGCGAGGGGAGAGGTTGTGGCAGGATGAGGCTCAATGCCCCACACTTACTCCCTCTCTGCTCAGAGTGGAAGGGAATAGGCCGGAGGACAGGGATTGAGGGGGAGGGGAGGCAAGTAGAGCCTACTCTACCCTACACTCCTCCTACTCTACCCCTTACTCTACATTACCTTACCTTCCTCCTACTCTATCCTACACTCCTCCTGCTCTACCCCCCTTCTACTCTACTCTACCCTTTCCTCCTCCTACTGTACCCCCATTCTACTCTACCCTATCCTCCTCCTATTCACCCCTTCTACTCTACTCTATCCTTTCCTCCTACTACTCAACCTTCTCTACTCTACACTTCTCCTACTCTACCCCCCTTCTACTCTACCCTATCCTCCTCCTACTCAACCTCCTCTACTCTACCCTTTCCTCCTCCTACTCTACCCCCTTCTACTCTACTCTACCCTATCCTCCTCCTATTCAACCCCTTCTACTCTACTCTATCCTTTCCTACTACTCAACCTCCTCTACTCTACTCTTCTACTCTACCCTATCCTCCTCCTACTCAACCTCCTCTACTCTACTCTACCCTATCCTCCTCCTACTCAACCCCTTCTACTCTACTCTACCCTATCCTTCTCCTACTCTACCCACTTCTACTCTACCCTTTCCTCCTCCTACTCTACCCCCTTCTACTCTACTCTACCCTATCCTCCTCCTACTCAACCCCTTCTACTCTACTCTACCCTATCCTCCTCCTACTCAACCCCTTCTACTCTACTCTACCCTATCCTCCTCCTACTCAACCTCCTCTACTCTACCCTACACTCCTCCTACTCTNCCAAGGGGCTCACGTGACACTCCCCCCCGGGGGACTCTGCGACCGTCGCAAATGTGAGCCAAGCATCCGAAATCCCACGACCCCGGAGATGTTGCAACCGTCGTAAGTGTGGGGAAACAGTGCCAAGTTGTTGTTTTGCAGCGTCGTCGTAATAAGTAAGTTGAGGATTCCCCGTATGATTAAAAGGCGCCGTTCCCACGAAGGGGAAGCGATCCCAATGTAGATTAACCCAGTTCTCCTCCTGCGGAGGGATGGCTCTGGTTTAAAGAAAGTGTATCCAATGTTAGCAGCTTTAAGACTTGTGGCTTTGCTGGCTGAGGCACTCTGGGAGTTGAAGTCCACAAGTCTTAAAGCTGCTAACATTGGAGACACCTTCTTTAAAGGTGATTTGTTCTTAGATCCCGGTCTAATTCCGTTGTCCAAGGAAATGCCCATCAACTCTTTGGTGCCCATGAGGGTCATCTGGGGCTGCTGACCCATTTCGCCGAGCTGGCCTGGGAAACAATCTCTGCCAACAAACTTTCCGTTGGCTCCCAAGAGTAAAACTCCCGCGCCCTTTTTGGCTTCTGGGACGTCCGGTTTCCTGGGCCTTTGATGCTGCGCTGCTCGGATGTTGGACCTGGTCTCAGTGCAGGGGGGGTGGTGGTCTTCGGATGGTCTCTTTGAGGACCCCCCCCTCCATTGGGGAGGGCAGGAGTCCCCCCACCCTGTTGGGCTGCAGGGCTTCTGGCTGAGGGGTGGGAGAGGGGATGAGGGGCGTCGGAGTCCACGCCTGAGAAGGTTGTATGGATCAGGAAGCATTGCAGCCCTCCAGCGAAGGAGGAGGTGGAGGGGAGAGACCCCCCCCCACAAATAAATAGGAAAGGGTTAACTTTAGATAGAAGTTCCTTTGCTCTCGTCCGCCTTCGAAATCCCTGGCTGGCATGAAAAACAGGGAGTGCCCAATTCCCTCCGTGCCTCTCTGCCCTCCGCCCGGGCTTCCCTTCCTTTGCCCTCTGGGCCCAGAGTGGAGGAGGAGGAGGAGGAGGGGGAGCCGCCCCCCCCTCCCCGGGGGATGTTTTCTTTGCCCTGGGGATGTTGTGGGAGTTCTGTGCACCCGAAAGGACGCTCTGTTCCCTCCCGCAGGGCATCTGCTCAGCCTGCAGGACGGGCTCTTTATCTCTCGCCACCAAACACGGCCGGCCGACCGACCGGCGCGAGTCTTCGGTGGCTTTGTGGCTCCCTTAGGGGAAGGTCTGCAAAAGGGCCGAGTTCTCACGAGGCCTCAGGGGGGGGATTTTTCCTTTCCTTTTCTTTTTCCCCCTTTCCTTATCCTTTCTTTTTTCTTTTCCTTTAATTATCCTTTCTTTTTTTCTTTTCTTTCCCCTTTTCTTTTTTCTTTTCCTTTCTTTTCCTTTCCTTTCCTTTAATTATCCTTTTTCTTTTTTTCTTTTCTTTTCCTTTCCTCTCTTTCCTTTTCTTTCCTTTTCCTTTCCTTATACTCTTTTCTATTCTTTTCCTTTCCTTTCTTTTCTTTTCCTTCTTTCCTTTTCCTTTGCTTTTCCTCTCCTTTCCTTTCCTTATCCTTTCTTTTCTTTTTTCTTTTCCTTTCTTTTCCTTTCCTTTCCTTTCCCCCTTTCCTTATCCTTTCTTTTCTTTTCCTTTCCTTTAATTATCTTTTTCTTTTTTCTTTTTTCCTTTCCTCTTTCCTTTTCTTTTCTTTCCTTTTCCTTTCCTTATCCTTTCTTTTCTATTTTTTCCTTTCCTTTCCTTTCTTTTCTTTTCCTTCTTTCCTTTTCCATTCCTTTTCCTCTCCTTTTCTTTTCTTATCCTTTCTTTTCTTTTCTTTCCCCCTTTCTTTCTTTCTTTCTTTCTTTCTTTTTCTTTCTCTGTTTTCTCTCCCTCTCCTTCCTTCCTTTCTCTAACTTTCTCTCCCCTTCCTTTCTTCCTTCCTTCCTGCCTTCCTTTCTCATAACTCTTTCTCTCCCTCTGCCTTCCTTCCTTCCTTCCTTCCTTCCTTCCTTCCTT